TTTACTAAATATAGTATTAGAGAATCGGGTCTCCCTTTGAAAGAATTATTACAGGCTAATCTATCACCGATATTAAAACCTGATAAGGACCCAACTAATCTGGCTAATTATCGGCCTATATCTCTTATAAACTCAGATATTAAAATTTACTCTGCTGTCATTGCAAATAGACTAAAATCAATTATTCCTTCTTTAATTCACCACGATCAAATAGGTATTGTTCAGAATAGAGACCCAGGTAATAACACTCGAAGATTGACTGCCCTGATTGATTATGTAACTATGCTGGCCCTGTCACTGGATGCTGAGAAGGCGTTTGACAGGGTCAGCTGGAGTTTTATGAGCCAGACTCTGGACAAATTTGGATTTGCTGGCTCTATTAAAACTGCAATAATAGCTCTTTATTCTATCCCACGGCTAAAACCGTGGGCCCTGGCATCTCCGCAGATTGGTTTACAATTTCTAACGGGACCAGGCAGGGATGTCCCCTGGCCCTGCTTTTATATATTTTGACTCTTGAACCGCTCGCAGGGAGCATAAGAAACAACTATCAAATTAAAGGAGTTATTTTGAACCACTCTGAATTTAAGATCAGCCTATATGCCGATGACATAATATTAACACTGTCTGATCCGTATATATCACTTGGGGCCTTGTTTCGGGAGTTGGAAGACTATGGTAGAGTTTCAAACTATAAATTAAATATTGGTAAATCCCAAGTTATGCCCATCAATTTAGATTTTACGACAATTAATAGATTATCAGTTAAATATCCCTTCACTTGGTCATCTCAAGTTTTTCTATATCTTGGGATTCATTTCTCTTATAACTTAAAAGAAATGATTGATAAAAACGTGGATAATCTTATAAAAGATACCAGTGATAAATTACTCAAAGAGTGGAGAAATATAGGAATTTCCTGGTTTGGAAGAATAAATATCATCAATTCATATATTCTACCTCAATGGTCATACCAGTTCAGAATGATCCCTTTATCTATAATAATAACTAAACTTAGGCAGATTCATAAATTATTTCTGAATTACATATGGGATTATAAGAGGTCAAGGATCTCGATCTTACATGTAATGAAAAAGCCCAGTAAGGGTGGCCTGGCGGTCCCAAATCTTATCAAATATTACGAAGCCTCTAGGCTGTACCATCTGTGGAGATGGCAGGGCCCAACCTCATTAGACGAGCCTTGGTATAAAATTTAATCCTTTTTGTGTAATTCAAAAGATCTTTCTAATATGTTATGGATTGACATTGGGGCAAGTGCAGAATTCATCTCCAACATAGAAACTTCATACATAAAAGATATCTATGGAATTTGGGTAAAATACAGGAAAAGAAATCACATTTTAAATAAAATTTCAAAGTATAGTCCAATTAAGACAATGGAATATAATATTAATGACCTAAATTTAGGTAATTGGATCAAATTTTTTTAAACTAAAATAGATGATTTTTTAGAATTGAATAAAATAAGGTCTTTTTTATATCTTCAGTTAAGTCTTGACCTTAATTCAAGAGAGTTATTCACATACCTAAGAATCAAAAATTATTTGGACAATCATCTGCTTTATGATAACACTAGGATAAACAAAAAATTAAATGATCTATTTAAAAATAATACTAATCGTAAATCGATATCTAGTTGGTAAGAATTATTGAGAGAGGAAGAAACCAAAGTCTAAACCAAAAGCATGGAAAAATTGGGAACAAGAAAGTGGGTCGTCAATTGAGTTAGAGCAGTGGTATAGATCAATTCAAGAAGTTAAAAAATCGTTGCATTGTTTAAATATTATAGAGCTTCATTATAAAATTCTTCATCAATGGCATAGGGTACCAAAAATTCTAAATAGAATTAACCCTGATAATTCCAAACTTTGTTGGAGGTGTACTTGTGCTGAAGGTAGCTCTAAACATATTTGGTGGGGATGTAAGCTTTTAAGACCTATATGGAATAAAGCATTTAGAGTTATATCAGATTTAGTGGGAGAAGATTTGGAAGATAACTCAATGGTTGCTCTTTTTCATTTTAATTTAAGGAGATTCTCAACTCAAAATAGATATCTAATAATCCAACTTATGATGGCCATAAAAATAGAAATATCAAGATATTTGCTTCAGAAAAAGACTCCATCTTGGACCCAAGTGCTAACTCAGCTTAAATACCAACACAATATGGAAAGGGGAATATCTTTTCAAAATGATAGCCACTTAAAATTTGATGAGAAATGGTCACCTTGGCTAGACAATCTGATATAACAATATACCTTGTTGCATTCTCTGTTATGAATATCCTTATATATAAAGATCACTCTAGTTCTTCCCTATGGTACTGTATTCAGGAAAGTTATGAACTAACTTAATTATTATAGTTTAGGCCCGCCTAATCCACTCAGCCCTTTTAAATTGTGATATTTGTGTTTCTGTGTGTGAAGTTTACTCAACAGTTCATATATCTTTCTATTGTAAATCTAGTCTATATGTTTAAAGGACCACTCTAGGCACCCAGACCACTTCAGCTTAATGATGTGGTCTGGGTGCCAGGTCCTTCTAGGGTTAACCCATTTTTTCATAAACAGCAGTTTCAGAGAAACTGCTGTGTTTATGAATGGGTTAAGCCTTCCCTATTTCCTCTAGTGGCTGTCTCATTGACAGCCACTAGAGGCGCTTGCGTGCTTCTCACTGTGATTTTCACAGTGAGAGCACGCAAGCGTCCATAGGAAAGCATTATGAATGCTTTCCTATGCGACGGGATGAATGCGCGCGCAGCTCTTCCCGCGCCTGCGCATTCAGCCCAGGAGGAGGAACGGAGGAGGAGAGAAGGAGGAGAGCTCTCCGCCCAGCGCTGGAAAAAGGTACGTTTTTAACCCTTTCCCCTTTCCAGAGCCAGGCGGGAGGGGGTCCCTGAGGGGGGGGCACCCTCAGGGCACTATAGTGCCAGGAAAACGAGTATGTTTTCCTGGCACTATAGTGGTCCTTTAACTTTGAACTGTTCCTGTCTGTATGTTACATATGTAAAATCTGCAAAAAGAATAAAACAAACAAGCAAAAAAAATATTACGTGTATTCAAGTCTGTAGCTGCTGGCTCTGCTCCTCATCTGCTGACATCATCAGACGTGGTGGTCTGAGCCAATCACAACTGTATTAATACATCGCTATGAGGCACGTTCAGTGTTTGCATGCAGGCGATGGAGACACTAAATGGCAGTACTGCACAGCTGTAGTTGTTCTGGTGACTATAGTGTACTTTTAAGAAAAAAATAAAGAGATAGTAATAAAACCAAGGAGAAGGGTATCATTAATAGTAAAGAATATGATTTTTTTGAAAGTAGAATTCCCTAGATTACCCATCTTCTATATGCTGCCAAAGGTCCATAAGGACATTAGATGTCCCCCTGGTAGGCCTATAGTGTCAGGGATAGGTTCAGTATCAGCTAATTCATCTAAATATGTGGATATTTGGCTACAGGATCTTGTAAAGGAAATGCCGTCATATCTTAAAGACACAATAGAGGTTATTAAAATTTTAAAAAAAATTAAATGGGAGGACAGTTTTATCTTGGTAATGAGTGATATGTCCTCCTTGTACACCTCCATCTTTCTGAATTAGGCTGCAAAATAGTTCGAGAATGTCTACAAAAATCAAACAAATGTAATCCCATTCATATAGAGTTTTTAATAGGTAGTATCTGTTAGATTTTAAACAATAATAATTTTTCTTTTAACTCTAATATTTTATTTGCAGAGTCAGGGTAGCGCTATGGGGATTAGGTTCACCCCTAGTTATGCAAATTTATTTATGTCAGAATGGGAAAATATATTTATTTACAAAAGCCAAGAATGGGGGCGGACCTAGTCACATACTATAGATACATTGATGATCTGCTTTTTATATGGAAAGGTACCCAAACAAATTTAGGCATTTTTTAAAATAAGTTAAATGATAATAATTGGGGGATCAGCCTCACTAGCACTTATAGCACTTCTAGTATTAATTTTCTAGATCTGGAGATTTATGTTGAAGAAGGTAAAATGAAAACAAAAAACTTTTTCAAGAAAGTGGACGCCAATAGCTATGTGTTATACAATAGCGGCCACTATACCCCCTGGTTGGATAATATCCCAAAGGGACAACTCCAGCGACTAAGAAGAAACTGTACAGAGGAAGGTATTTTTAAAGAACAGGCTGTGATTTTAATAGATACATTTTCTGAGAAGAAATACCTTAAAAAGATATTAGATGGGGGCGGAGCCTAACAGCCGAGCTGAGCGGTCACATGGCGGACGAGCTCCGTGCCAAAAACTCTGACAAAAGCCTGAATCCTGCCAAGAACCATAGCAAGTAGCCCCAATCAGCTAGTGTACTGACCCTAGAGAAGGGGGACTACAAACGCAGCAAACCGCAAGCACGCTCTCAGCCGGTATTGACAGCCACGACCTGGGGATAGATCTGCGGCCTGCACGAGGACTACCTGAACGACATGGGGGAGACGGCCGCTCCCTCTGCCGATTGCAGCACCCAGGACTGGAGGTCTCTCCAGTATAATCTCTCCCCCCCTGTCGGTGAGGGATATCCCGGCACAATGGTGTGTGTGACACTGGATTGAAGCCCCAACAGAGGCCTACCTGCCACGATAAACAAGGGCAATCCAACATGGCGGATGAAGCATGGGACCCTGCACTTGAGCCCCCGCTACCCCCTCTGGTGGAGCGGCTAGACCGTCTGTTCGACGCCTTCTGGGCCAGGCTAGCCATGCTTGACATCCCCAGCACTCACGAGTCCGCCGACCAAGCTACTTCAAACCGGGGCCGCTCAAATGACCGAAGGCGGCAACAGCTGCGACCTCTACGGGCCTTCCGGAGCAGAGGGGCGGTGGAGAAAACATAAGCAGCGGGTGAAACAGACGACTGCATGCAACCCCGCAGTCCAACACACTGGTCCTCCCAGGCCCCTGCCTGGGCACATTCCTCTGTACTCTGCCCCACAATGAGCACAGTCAAGATCATACCTGACCGCGAGGAGCCAGGGGAGAGGCTTGAAACCCTCGAGATCAATGTTTGTGCCCACACACCAGATCATGGGCCCGACGCATCGATCTGCACCTTGGCAAGGCGCCCAGCAGCATCACCTCCCGAGCAAGTTACCCATACTTCCCAGCCTCATACCTCTGCAGCCGTCCTGCCTCACCAGTGCTAGCTGGAATCACTGGGCTGTAGAGGTTCAGCTGGCTGTCCCGCCGTGAATCCTGAGATCGGGAGTGGGTTGAGTGCCTATCAGAGACTGCCCGAGGGTACCCCGCAACCACATGCCGACTCTTGAACTATGTTTTATGTATTATGTTATGCGTTATATGCCTTCTGTTTTAAGCTCTTAACAACACACTGTCCACACTCCAACGCTGTCTGACACTCCACTCTTGTCTCACCCACACGCCTCGCACATCAGACACATTCTACTAGTCCGTCTCACTCACTTTACTCTAACCTACTGTACTGCACGCTGCAAGTCTTCTCGTTTTATACCATAAAAATGTGCATACTCAGCAAATACCCCATTTTTAAGCGAGATATACAGCCAGAGGAATGCCATTGGGGTACCTCTGACCTGCTTGTACGTATTTCATGCACTGCAAAAAAAAAAAAGATATTAGATATGGCATATGAGTAGGTGGCAAAATTAGATCAAGATAATTTAATTTTTAAATCACAAGATCTAGTTGAGAGAAAAAAAGGTGCCCCTAGTGTTTGATTTTAATAATGATTTTAGGAAAATCAAATCTATTAAATAATAAACATTGACCTCTTTTGAATAAAGATAAAGAATTGTCAAAAATTATCCCTGAAAGACCACTTATTACGCTCAGAGGAGCACCCAATTTTAAAAGAATGTTAACTTTTAACAATGACCGAGAAGAAATAAAGGCAATGGTTTCAAATAGCAAAAGCGATTTTTATTCATGTGGAAAATGCACAGGCTGTAAATTCAGTTAAAAATAGAACTATGAAAGGAATACATAAATGTAAAGCGAAATATACTGAAGAGGATTTTGATATCAAGAATTTTATTTCATGTTTTAGTAAAATTTTTATTTATTTATTAATTTGTCCTTGCGATCTATGTAGGCCGAACTGTACGTCCTCTATATAAAAGAATTTATGAGCATATATATCATAATAAAAGTGTCTTTGAGCAGCATAGGAGCCTAAGGGGCTAAATATAGAATTTGAATTATATAAGTTTTTATAAAAAGATTTTTTTTTAAATAAGTTAATTTAAATATCTTTTTTTTTACAAGGGATATTTTATGTAGATGAGGTCTTTTTAAAATAAACTGCTAAATTTAATGATATTTACAAAAAAAATTATATTTTTTTATATTGTTTTTAAATACAATACTAAAGTTTCTCCCTTTCTTTCCATGAATAGCAATTTCCTTCTTTTTAATATTTTTAATACTTTTATGATTATAAGATTTTTCATATAAAGTTTTTCAGGAAGTGTTTGTTGGTAATGTATTGTGTTAGATCTAGGAGTGTGTATAGTATTTATATTTGTGTATCTAGTTTAATGTTTAGGGATGAACCACTATTTAAATTAAGAGTCAATGGGACTTTTTACACAGAGACTATTTTACATAAGGTTCTGGGCTAGAGCCAATGATTTTATGGACTCTAGAGCCAACATGCCCATCGGGGAGGATTTATAAGGATGACAGCAGCAAAAGGTTAGTGTGATCTGAGGAAGCGAGTTACAGACGAAACGCGTCTTCATGCCTCGTCCCACCGTCACGTCTCGTAGGAAGCTCCGTCTCCAGGAAATACTCAGAGAATTGTAGCCCGTGGTAACGCAAGGCCGGCAGCAAAAACCAAAGGGACAGTATTCAGGTTCAAAAGGAGGAACACAGAGTGGGAGGTGATGTACCAAGAGATGTCAATGCGATTACAGCTAGAGCAGACTTCTCTGCTCTTGACTTGTGAGTGGGATTCCACTGCAAACAGTACGAACACATTATAGATCCTATTCCTATTCTTACATTTCCTCGTTGTATATTCTTCTATCGTCTCTTCTGAAATATCTTCCCATGTATCCGCAAACTCTTCTACAAAAATTTAAAAACAGCAAACAAAATATATTTCCTTTAACAACCCCTAAGTCATATACCTTTGGGCATGCCATAGTCAGACATTTACAAACTCCCTATCTAAAGTGAGAATTCTTAGGAATTCAAAGTTAATCAAAAAAATTAGGTCAAAATAGTTGATTTAGTGTAAATCCCCAAGTCAGCAATGTTTCCACTTGTAGTATTTTGTCCCTAAAATGTTAAATTCACTTTTAATTCACATTGACTTTCTGCTAGTTTAGAAGTGAACACTAGGACAGGGATACGCCACCTTCTGCACTCCACATGTTGTGGACTACATATTATGGACTACATCTCCTCCGAAACTTTGCCAGCATTATCGCTGTAAGAGCATTATGGGAGATGTAGTCCACAATGTTCAGAGTGCCAAAGGTCGCCAACCCCTGCCCTAGGGTCTCATTATTATTACCCAACTTGGTAGCACTCATTTTATTGATCTCAGAGGATAAAAGTCTAGGTCAACCTCACTTTGACTCAAATTTGTGACTCTGAGATACTGTGGCTGAAGACCTACCAACTGATCTATTTCATTAGCAATTTTCATTGTGTTATGTTATTGTTTACATCCTACAGAATTTGGTCCAATAAACTCTAGTGACCGTAGTGTCAATATCCTGCCCTTGGGTCTCGAGATTACAAGAAGTTTAAGTACACCAGCACAGGAATTGTCTTAAGAACAATGCAATTAACACTCAGCAGATTTGGGATTAGACAGGCCTAATACTGTCTGTAACGGGATTTAAAATTCTGATTATTTTTACAGGAGTCTCACCTGCTCACATCAGATAAGTTAAGGGGCTTTAAAATTCCCGGACTCAAGAGTGTCTGCCTCTTTTCTACAGCGGAAAAAGTTACTACCCTCCGAAGCTAATAAACAGCCTGTTTATCTCACTATCATCTTTAATCCCATCTAAGAGTATTTAATAAAACCATATTCCTAGATTGCCGTATATAAGGGCCAGAGGCTTTGCATCAGTGATTGATATTTTTTTAAGAAAGGAAAAAAATATTAGAATTTTTTTTTTTTTTTCAGTGAACCAGGAACTGCGGTGACTAAATGTTTTATTGTTTTATCTGGTATTTTTTTTAAAAATCCTGGTAACTTCAATGTTGAACATATTTTATATAATTTATATTTTTGCATAATATTTAATCCCTTATTTACACAACATATAAAAATTGGGATTAATCCCAATTTTTGTGTACTTTTTAAACAAAATAATTGCTGTCTCTGGACTCATTGCCTACAACAACAAAAAACAGCTACATCTAACTAGAAAATGTGAATTTCAAGTACCTGGTAATTTTTTTTAAATTATCTGGTTTTACAGCACATTAACTCATTACAATTCCTTCTTTCAAAAGGAAGAAGAGTGCTCGCGTCTGTTATTTAAAAAAAAACAAATCTAAAAACATTTGTAAAAAGTGTAAGAATAACCTGTAAACGTTTAGCTTCTGGTGTTTGTTTTTAATTCTAATAAAATTTGCATGAATGAACCGATCATTTCCCTGTGCTATTACACCAGGTCTCTGATCTGTGAAATATAATCAATGTAGACAAACAAACCTTTATTCGTGTGTCAGCTCAAACAATGGTAATTTTGTTAAACATGCGTCTGTCTAATTTATGAATTCTTAGAATGTGGTATATTTGTGTCCTTTAAAGAGTAACTGTCACTTCTCTGGAGGTAATATTTCGTTGTTCACTTACGTCTGTATTGCTATTGATTAGTAATACATTGGAGGGAAGTAGAAAACACAATTACGTTGGCACAACTTTTGAATTCAGTGAGATTTCCTAATACTATGATGCTTCCAGAGTGCTCTTTAGACTTGTGCATTTGGTTTTAGACCGATCGCAATTAGCCATATCGACAAAACCCGAGTTGCTTGAAACTACTTTTTTTTTGGACTAATGAAATTTCTTCATCGTATACAAATCTAGTGCTCTTGTGTACTTCGTCTGCAGAGAAATGCCAAAAAAAAAAAAAGCACACACATGATCTGACTTAATTTCTATAGAGCTGTACTCATGCAAGACTCAGCAGGACAGCTAGGTACACAGTGTACATAATAAAATAATAATAGTAATGTTATGTTATAAAAATCTTATAGAATGACAATAGAACAGTTGGAATAAAAAGGCAACACAGAGTTTCTAAAAGTGATGAGTGAACAAAAAGTCCCATTTTGCACAAACGTAAAATAAGGAGTTAAAATCAAAAGACAAATAATGGGATTCCCTAAGATGAACGAGAAGTGGGCTAATAGTACAAAAATAGCCTGACCCACATTGCAAAATTAGGATTGGCGTGAGCAGCAAGCTTTCACAAGGGTTTATAACACAGTAAAACCTGATAGAAAGTACTTAGTACCCATTTCCTATTGGTCTATTGGTCATAACCACCAACACAGGAGATACACATAGAGGGGGTATCTTGGGGTCTTTTTAAACAACTGAATATCTCACCAGTGAAAGTGTTGCTTTTTAAAAAAAAAAATTCTTTATTTTTGCCATGCAGTGTTAGAACATATACAGTTGGATATACATGTCATGCAATATGGATTAAAACATGTAGAGAATGCTGCATTTTTGTATTATACTAAGATAATGAGATTCATGCTTGGCAATCATGTCTACGTTTGGAACTTAAGTAAAACATACTGTCATGAGGGAATTGTGAGACATGGTATGCGTTAAACAATTATAAGTGGTTAGTGACATGCTATTTTAACTCGTTGCTAATAAGGCCACTGGAGATAGGATAGTATTTAATTTGCTATGTAACACAGACAATATGAGAAGTAAACGAGTAGAAGAATAAACAAAATGAGTAACAATCACAGTGGGACTCTGAGCATAGGGAGCAAGAGAGATGGCATCCGTCATCATCAGGTAGAGGTTAAGTGAGGCAGCAGGCTTGTAATCACGATCAGCAGACAACCAGTTTTGGTAAGTTTGACCTGCAGCCAGGGAAGTCTCCAAGCCAGCGTGAGGCACCAGTTAGGGCCATCTCCGTAGCACCTGAGATCCAACAAAGTAGGGTTATCTCCT